CCTATATGAAATTCCCTCCGTGGTGGGGGTATGGATATTTTCTGGAATTACACATTATTTATTAATTACAATATTCAAAGATTATCATTTGGCATTTATAATGTAAAGTTTAAGTGAGATAAATAGATACTTGCATAAAATATAATGTAACACCGCACACACAAGATGTTTTTTCCATTTTAATTTATTTGGTTGGTGACAAATTTATTTCTAGCAACCACTTCTTTAACAGTTTATGTCTCCAAATGGTGACTCTGAAAAGAGTTAAGCTTGGAGCCCTTGGAAACCTGCTTAAAAACAACTTTATCTTAAAAATTTATTCAAATTACATTTTTCAAGACTGCTATGCTAGGTGAACACTTCGTCTTTGTGAGACTATAATGACTGTCCACTACCAAATCTATTAACTTAAGATAGTCTCTCTTTTTTTCTATAACCACTAATTTTTGCCCTTTCACTGCAAAAATCTTATTAGTAGTTCTCCTTACTGTCTTTAATACAATTCTTATAATTTTGATAAGATAATTTGGTACTGGATAAATTAATAAGCCACTAATTGACATTGTTATTTATTTATTTCACTGGTCTGCTTGAAATTGTATCAATACTGGAAAGGCAAATTCTGCCTTAGCCACAAATGGGAAAGGTTATCAGTTACTTATGATCTGCAGCTGAACCTCTTGAAAAAAAACTAATAACAAGTGCACACAGTTTCAAACTGTAAACATTTGTGTAACATGACAACACATCACTACTTTCTTGATGAAAAATAATATACCAGTGCACAGCTTAAAAATTCCTATTCAAATAAACAGCTGTCTTCAGAGTGCTCCTATACCTGAAAGAGACCAAACAAGCAACATGAACAACTTTTAATGGCCACAAACACAAATGAGCTTTCCAAAGTTAACAGAAACTAAAAAAGGGAGACCAACTGGAGGGGAGGGAAGCCACAAGGTCTGGGACAAAGAAATTTTGATCACGTAACACATAAAGCGGTCAATTCTTAGGGTTGTCATCCAGCTCCCTAAGCCATGCACTGCTCGAATCCTTTACATGCAAAATTTTTTTTGAATAACTCCTACTGATGTTTCCTACCACAGTGTGAAAATTTTATCATATTAAAATTGTTTATCATGGATAGCTCCTTTCTTTTGCCTGTTTGTTGATTTTTCTTTGGCAAAGCCTATTTGAATTTGCAGGGAACCTTAAAAATCAAATCCCACCTCAGGTCAGAAATTCAAGCATGGGAAAGACTCAGTTGCTGCCATTCTTCCATTCTTATTCAAGGAGAGTTTCCACCACATTATTGATGATGTACAACATGGCTCAAAGTTGGCATTACGACCATGGCCTGACTTCCAAACAAGTAAAAAACACCCCATTCCTCTTTTCACATGTTTGGTTTCAAGTTGTAACTGAATTATACTCTGCTACTAAACTGAATAACAGAAAACACGAAACCATGCTAACCTGAAAGCAGACTGAGCTACACTGCTCCAGAAAAACAGAAAATAGTACCCACAGAATGTTTTGAGCACATCTTGTAAATGCATCCACATGGAAATTTTGGAGTGACAAGATCAGCAAAACTTAAGTTTTGCCAATTGTACTCTCCAGTCAGCAAAGCATTTCACTGACATTATTTCAAAAAGGTAATAATAATAATAATACAATGATTTATATAGTGCCCTTTCTTTGAGCTCAAAGCACTTTACAATTATAATCATTATTCTGAAAAATAAAAACATTTGAGTAGGGTACTCTGTTTCTGCATAAAGAACGACAAAGAAACTAAGTTTTGCAAGTGTTACAATGCAAAGACCTACCTAAACCAGGGCGTGAAATTAACTTTTTTTTCTGATAGCCACTTGGCTCCTAAATTCTTCAAAGTGGTAGCCAATTCAAAAAAAGTTGGTCGCCATTTTCAAAGACAAAAAATCTTTCTTTACGCTGTCAGCGTTCTAGATAGACCCTCCAAAATTAAGTCAGGGAAAAGATCTTTAACGTGCTACAAAGTGGACACTAGGATGGATGATATACAACGTTAAGGCTCATCTAAATCCAAGATGGCGTCTACTTATCAATCGAGAAGCACGTGCTACGTTTTAGAAACAAACTTAATGAGGAAGTTTGCCGCGGATTTATCTTTGCAAATCTTTTTAATTCACTATATCTCTTGGTAAGGTTATGATGAAACGTTCTAGTCGCCAATTTGGCGACTAACTTTCAGGATTTGGTCGCCAAAGTGAAAAATTTAGTCGCATTGGCGCCTGTATTAGGCGCAATTTCACGCCCTGGTTTTAAACTCTCACTGCAGAAATCAACCTAACCAAAAGTATTAACCTTTTCAAGTACTGACCCAAGCCTGATGTTTGTTACAAAACAGAAAGCATCTTCGGATCCTTAAAAAAATTACCTGCCAGGCAACTTAGCTACTGCCTCAGTTAGGCGCTATGTTTTTCCCTGTTACTATTTAGGGCTTGTCTGCAATGGAGCTATCCCCTGACAATTTCCAGTGAGACTGCTTTGCAAGTTGTTAGAACATCATTTCGATTTCATTTAAGAGAATGTATGGGAAGTAGCTACCCCCTCTGGAGACAACTTTACAAGGATACAGAAAAAGGTGATCAAAGTAGCAAAGGACTTGAACTCTGGCCCCAAAAGACAAGTCACACGTGTTGTGCCCAAAACCCAAATAACTGAACAAACAATTGAACTATTTTTTTGTTGTTTGTTATTTTCTCATTCTTTTCTATGCATATTAGCAACCCCAATTGAAATAAAGTTACTAACTTAATTAATTAACTAGCGCACTGCATACCTGCCAAATTAATCTGAGTCAATGTTGAGACATTTTTCCCTTAAAAGGACCAAGATTTTTCTTTGTAAACCTGTTCATGTCCAACAAACCAAAAGGATATCCACAGCTATATTTACAAGAATTCCAAAGATTTCCTGGAAGCATGCTTTAAGATTTTTTTTACTAGAATGTTTTGTCCCTCAAACAAATTAGAATGAGTTCTTTTTCCTTTACGGTTTTACTAAATGTATCCATCAATGCAGAAGTGTATCAATTATTTTTTTCAACTTGGAATAAAGCAGTGACCTGCCATGAGATAGAAGTTTTGCAGCTAAGCATCTAACACATGATTGGCAGCAGATTTAAAATCCTATTCCTAATCAATCTAATTGAGAGTTACACAGAAAAACTCTGTGAATGATTACTGCTTACTAAATCATTCATGCCCCTTGCCTTCAATGTAAAATATTCAATAAATACATTTTTTCTACGACCCTCTTCAAAAGAGGACCCCAAAAAAATTTCATCTTAACCCAGATTTTACTATTTTGAAAAACGCGATTACCTACTTCAAAAATTTTAAATCCAATTAAAGCGTTGTATATCAATGCTACCCATAACCAAAACCTATGGAAACATGAACAGCGCTTTAACTTTTACAAAATTTTTTAATATATACACATTTACAGATGAGTATAATTTCTACACACCTGTATAACTTCGCTGGAATCAGCTCAGTAGGCTGGCTTGGAGGGCTGTACAAAATCGTCAGCCTCGATATCTTCAACTGGTTTCTCTTGTGCACGATGTTTTGGCGCTCGGCGGTAACGAAAGACGAAATAGACACCCTCGCAAAAGAAGAGCAATGCAGATAGGAAACCGCAGATCCCTGAAGCTTTTAATTCACCGATGTTGTAATCTTTCCCTTTGGCGTAGACAACGCCAGAACCGATGACCAAGGCCAAAGCAGCGAAGAAACAAGCGATCATTCCAAGGAGAGGCTGCGTGAGAACAGGCGGGAGCTTCTCAAAGATATGAGTGATTCTTAGGAGGATGTGCAGCATCACAAAGATCCAGGCGGTGGTAGCAACAAAGATCAAGAACTCGTATTCAGCTCTGAAGCTACCGGGAAAACTAGAAACAATGACAAACGTCAAGAAAGTCAAGATGGCTTCGACAAGTTTTAGCCATCCTTCCTTCGTTGTCACAATCCACAGAGGATCACAACAACCGCAGCTACACTTTCGCGTGGTCACTTCTTGACCTGCCTCGCCCTGATCTGCCATGTGTAGTATACGAATCACCAGGAGAGGGTCAAACCAAAGGTAAAGGTGTAGAAACCAGTAACAAAGCGAACGGAGTGCCAAAGCCCTGTTAGTAAAATACTTGTAATGTCATGCAAGCTTTTGATTAATTAAAACAGTTCGTATGTCATATACGAAATCACAAAGCGTAACCGAAAATAGTGCTAAGAGTTGGCCTGGGGTTGAATTTGTCGTTTAACAGTTCCTGCAAAACGTAAAAATATGAAATGAAGGTCGACATTTTCTTTAAAAGGGAGAAAAATCTTCCTTGTTTTTTCTTGGCGAACAGACTACAGGGGCTTTTCTGCTAAAATAATTATTTCGCAAAATTACACTACGCGAACCTCCATGTAACCATAAGGTCCTGGAAGACCATCAAACCGTAAAATTTTGCTACTTGTGAAAACAGGAAACGGAGAGGTGTGACGAGCTATTTTCCAGATCTACAAATTTCAGCAGGGAACCATAGACTCTTTTTGGCTAGAAATTCCGTTTTGTTTCCTTTTGAGGGGGAGAAGATTTGGATAGGAACATCGTTCCTTTGGGCCGGGGTTGACTAAGGCAGCGATATTGAACGTTCCCTTTTCGTCGTTTGAGAACATATTTCTGCCTGCTGTTTCTAAATACTACTTCAGAAGGCAGTTATAATTGAATGTAATTGGTCCAGAGAACTCGCACCACTTTCTCAACCAATCAGATTCAAAACTGTTACCAAAAAGGAGATGATCTTGGTTAGTTTTGGACCAGTACTGTATTTAATCGTCGTCTATCTTATTTCCTCCATCCCCGGATCAGGAAGAGCCACTTTAAGAGAAAGCGGTGCCAAAATGCTCCTACAGCTGTTAGACCAGACCACGAAACTCGAAGATGTTGTTATTGTCAGTGGATCGCCACTACGTTAGATAGCCGAAGCTTGCAGAGGCTGTCACGACTTTCGTGACGTTTGTTGTTATGTTGAGCTTTTCCGATAGCTTCAAACCTGATTACGGATACCTGATATTCGAGGCCACCACTGCGTTCATCTTCGTTTTCCTACACATCATGTCGGAGATATTCTCGCCGTATTATCTTTGTTCCGCGTAGAAAGTACTGCCGATTAACTGATCCACCACAAATCGTATAATTTGACTGTTGTATATTAAGGTAATATTGTATTTATTCGATCTGGCAAAAGGACAATAAAATCATGTGATTCTCATTCATCTTTAACGAAACAATCTTTAGTCATTTTTTCAAGAATAGAGTACGCGAAAGGATAAAAACATGGCTGGGACGCATTGATAGAATCCGGCATCAGTGGTTTCATGGCTTCTGCTTTGTTCCTTGCGGAAGGATTTTTCCGTCGTCCTCCTCCTCTACTGCTATTGTTTCAGATCGGCACCAAGGCATATCGCTGAAGAAGTAGAAGCTGAAATGGATGATTTGATGATAACTTTGTTTGTTAAAGTCTATCATAGCTGTGTTCATCCCTGAAGAGAATAATATCTCTCTTGCTTGTTTCAGCTCTTCATACAACACGCTAATGAGAGTTCTTTGAATTCTAGACAGGGATTTCTTGCCGTAGGGAACAAAACGGAACTATCCCCTGACCCTTGAAGAATATTCGAAGAACTCAATATAGCAGCAAACGATGAAAATAGAGTTAGCTAACAGTGGCGGGTCTCGGTGAGGGGCCAGGGGGCTCAGTCCCCCCCCCCCCCCCCCCACCTTATTTTGGTTAAAAAAAAAAAGAAAAGAAACCGCATAAGGAAGAGAAGCCGGCAGGGAAAGCGACAAAAAACCAGGCCCCCCTCCCCCTTAGCTCAATGTGAGGAAAGGGAAGATATTTTTTTCCTTTTCACGATGAATGGTAAGGCCTTCTTTTCAAAGTTTGCCAGGGAGGTTTTGAACTCCTGAAAGTGTGCATAAGTGACGATCTCGTCATATTTTCATCCCGATGGTTGGTGGGATCTGGGGAGCCAACAACACAGCAAATCTTTGCGTGGAACCGTCATTTTTTTTTTGTTTTTTGTTTTTTTTTTTTTGAGGAGCACGGGCTCCTCTCTGAACAGCGGGTGTTTATCGAGAAGCTGACGTAGCCCACCCCATATAACAAACTCTCTACTACCCACCCTACCATCCTCAGTACATATAGACAACAACTATGGCGGACGGGGAAGAGTTAAGGAATTCACGAGGATGTTGCAATTGTGCGTGGATAGTGATCACGGTGGAAGGATGGGTGAAACTCATCGAGACGTTAACGACTTTCTTAGCGGCTGTTCTCACGCGTAGCTTTGCGTACTATCGCGCCAAGATGGAATATAAATATCAAGTCGGCGTAGCCACGTGCGCGTGCATCTTGGTGTTCCTGCACATCATTATCAGAAGCTTACGATGCTTCGAGAAGGTGCTACCACTGCTTGGAATGATCGGATGTTTTCTTCTCTCGGTAACCTTATTCGTTGGCTCTGGAATTGTGTACCATGATGGCAACAAGTATAAGGGAGGGGATGTAATGGTTGCATCAGGCATTTGTGGCTTCATAGCTGCTAGTTTGTTCTTCTGTGAGGCGATTTATTATCTCTTTGCCCTCGTTTGTCGCCGATCACCTCCACGCCACGATGATGGAGATACTCTAACCACAGAAAAACATGGTCCGGTAGAAGATCCTGCAAGTGCAGTGGTTTAGCGAGAACTGAGATAAACAGAAAGAACTTGATGCATACAGAAAGATGCTTTAGCTTCGAATTAGACAAGAAGGTGATTGCTACGAGATATTATCTCACAGTAGAATGTTGTCTATTATTTTGATTTACCTATTTGAGAAACAAAAAAAGTATTTAGGAAGTCTGAAACAGAGAAATTTATCGTAGGTTTGATAAAATCAAGCTTCCCTCGCTGTTATTCAACCAATAATTACGTTAGGTCGCCTGACACTCGCCAAGTATTTCCGGCGAGTTACATGCGTTCTTATGTTGTAGTTCTATTTCTGTTTGAGATTAAATTATTAAAATAAAGCAGTTAACAGACCCTAGTTTCACTGTTGGAATGGTTTCTGCTGCTTTAGCCTGATTTTCACTAAAGACGCAAGCGACGCAAGCGACACAACTCTTATTTCACTGTGTAAACAGCCTCAACGCAAGCACGAACGGGAGCACACACCCAGTCATAAAGATTCAAATTTCTCCTTTTTCTTGTGCTAGTGCTTGTGCTTGTCGACTTCCGTTTTCACTTGGCATATTCACCTAAAGCTTGCCGGTGTTTGTACCGGCTTACACTTGTGCTTGCGTCGCTAGTGGAAAACCAGGCTTAATCGATACAAGAGGAAAAATTTACAACAGTTGCCTCTCCATCTCCACTTGACAGCTTGAACCTTCCAAGCATATTTGTGCTTGCAGGCATGCAGAGAAGACAATTGAATCAAGTTTCCTGTTACATTAGACATATATCCTGTTCACCTATGACGCATAGGTAAACAGGATAGGTTATTTCTTTAGGTCAGTTTTTGTGCCAAAAAACTTCGGTTTTTCGGTTTTGGTGTTCATTGCGGTTTGCGGATATTCCGTTTTCCAGCATTTTCGCCAAAAATACCAATGGGTTTTCGGATTTGATATTCGATGCGGTATTTGACCGATTTGGGTTCCGGTTTCTCTTCGATTTGAGTGGCAATTACGCGCCTCCGCTGCCGCTAAACGCAAATGTTATCGAGAGGAATGCGTGACAAAATAATTGAAATATCGCAGGGAACCCTAGGTAGGCTACGTGTAGCCGTACCCTCCCCCTCCCCCAAGGTGGGGAGAAGGGGACCAGCTTCTCTCGCCTGGCGATCCTTTTGCGCCAGCCGCATGCTGAGCGCAAACGCTTCGACTAGTAATTTTCCTAGGAAATTTATTCATCACGGAACATTGCCAGAGTTTCTTCATCAACGCCACCTCGAAGTTGGTGACCAAGTTACAGGCCACACGTGACTGATTCAACATTCCAATAGAATTTCCAAACTTTCAGGCCTTAATTCGCAAATTAGATTAGATGTTTTATGAGATGTTAGATTAGGGATTTTCGATGAAACTTTCCGGAGCTATAGCTTTTTGCGACTGCAAAATTGCAAACCTATAGAGGAATTTTGTGTAAATTTCCTTAATTTAACTAGGCTCCATTATCAGCTGCTGAGTCCGCAGAGACCACGATCGAGGTCCTCGAGAGTGCAGCTGTTAATTGAAGCAGATACTAGAAGATACGAATGCCAAGTCCATGGCATTCATAAATTCTGTAATGAAATTAGTATAGTTTACTCTGTATGCTCCACTTGTCACCACTGTATTTTTTTTGGTTTTTCGGGTTTGGATGATTTTTTTCTACGGTTTTGCGGTTTCTAATGATCCCCAATGCCCCCCTCAGTTGTGAAAGGTACGTGCAGAGCCATAATTCTTCTCTTGAAATCTTTTTTCCTTCAGCGCTCTATTTGCAACCGCAGTTGCAGTCCGCTTGATATTCCTATAACTCAGCCCGAGGGCCTCTTCATAAGAGCCTGGGTTTATTTAATTGTAGCTTAAGGTTGATCACCGTAACGTATCTTAATATCTTTACAATTCACACGAACCGGGCGGTTTGCCCTTCGAGATTGACTCGAGAATTTTAATTCCAAGAGGAAGGGTATAGGAAACGTTTCGAGAGGGATAATCGCTCGCGTTCGTTCTATCTATCTTATTCATCTATACTAAACAGATGAACTGAAAAGCAAGAAATTTTGCCTTGAGGGTCTCAATGGGGTTAACCTATAGCGGTAAAACAGTCAAAAATTAAGGCTTTTAGGCGTAAAAATTGACCGGCAAATTTTGACAATTAGTCGTTACAAACGGTAACCGTAAAAATGTGTTATTTTTGTATCACAAAGAAAGGAAGTTAACTGTTGAAGCCGGATCAATTTTTCTTTACCGTGACGAAAGCTTACCGTCCTGGAAAAGGATCACGCCATCCAGAACGAAGAATGCACATTTGTCAGGGACGATAAACTGGCCTATAAAGGAGATTTCATTTATCCTAATTGGTAAGTTTTATCGAGTGAGGATCTTTTAATTCAGTATCTAGCTGTACGTGGTTTGTTTTGTTCTGCGGAGCAGCCACTAAAACTAATCGGGCCTCTGTGAAAATACGGTTTTTGAAGAACTATCTGTGAATTGACGGTTATCAAAAACTGACAAAAATTCAACGCTTGAGAGACTAAATACAGACAACTAGACTCTCTTCTTTCCTTGCGAAGAAAAGCTGTTAGTCCCGTTGACAAATAGGGAAGAAAAATGATATCCAGAAGATTCTTTTAGTACGGCTAGAAACAAAATCCGGACTTTTTTCAGGATTTTCAAAGTCAAACGGAATTTTCAGAAAATTCGATGATTTTGGAACATTTAGGGATTCTTAGACGATAATGTCTAGAAAAATACAGCCGATAGCATAAAAACAAATTTACGTGGTTTGTAGAACTTACTCTACTAGCTGTTTATTGTCGTTATCATTTGTTTGAGAGATACATGTTAGGAGACGAACCAATCATCTTGAATCAGTTTGAAGGTGCTTCCATGAAGTTTCACCACAGGAATCTCGCATTTCATGCAAATTATGTTATTATTTTAAAATAAATTTCGAGACAGATCAGGACCTTTACAAAACATTTCGAGGTTTTTGAGATAAAAATGAGATTTGTAGACATTTTCAGGAGAATTCTCCGATAGATTGCCGGGCCATTTTTCGGAATTTCTGTATCTAGGCCTACTTCTACGGCATCATTGGTTTCATGGCTTCTGCTTTGTTCCTCGCGGATGGATCTTTCGTCGTCGTCCTCCTCTACTGCAATTGTTTCAGATCGGCACCAAGGCATATCGTTGAAGAAGTAGAAGCTGCAATGGATGATTTGATGTCGTTTTTGTTACAGTCTATCATAGCTGTGTTCATTATTGAAGAAAAGAATATTTCTCTCGCTTCTTTCAACTCTTCATGCAACACGCCAATGAGAGTTCGTTGAATGCTAGACAGGGATTTCTTTCCGTAGGGAACAAGACAAAACAATCCGCTGACCCTTGAAGAACATTCGAAGAGCTCAATATAGCCTCGAACAATGAAAAAATAAGTTAGGTAACAGTGGCGGGTCAAGGGGAGGGGCCCAGAGGACCCGCTCCCGCCCTCCCCCCTCCCCTTATTTTAAGTAAAAAAAAATATAATAATAATCGTAGAAGGAAGAAAAGCCGGCAAGGCAAGCGACAAAAAACCGGACCCCCCTCAGCTCAAGGTCTGGATCCGCAACTGGCTAATTGTGGAAGCTCGTTCTTAATTACTCTAGGGCAAGAGCCCATTAATGGGATCCTGGTCTAGGGCCATCTCTTTCAGAACGCTTTCTGGAGTGCCTGCATAACACAATCCCTCTTCCAGTCGTTATGTATCTTTTCTAGGTCAGATTGGAAGCGTGCGTGAGGAAAGGGAAAATATTTTTTTTATTTTTATGATGAATCCTTTAGCCTTCTTTTCAAAGTTTGGTGGTTTTGAACTCCTGAAGGTGTGTTTAAGAATATAAGTGACGATAAATAAATTAAATTGATTTTATCCCTAAATTAACTCATCATATTCGTCAGTGGTTCATCTTCAGTGAGACCTTTCGTCTACCATTGGTCGAACTGAAATCGAACTAGTATTTGGGAGGTCAGTTTTACTGTGGGAACAACCTACGGACATCCAGACAATCCCTTGAAACTTTGAAGCAAACCAACATCTCAACTCACCACCCTCCCCTCTCCCCTTCCCCATTAAATATGAGGAGAGGGGGGAGGAAACGCAACCGATACGTGAAAAATTATTTTGCATATTCACCCCGCGGCGAAATGGCATGCATAGAGCCAACTGTCCTGAAGGAGTTTACAACGACAAAAGTCGAATTGAATCACTGAATAGAATACTCGCAATTAAATGAGCTTCGTGTTCGACAAAACTCGTGCTTTCTTCTTTCCTAATTTGTACTCTTTACTTAATTTCATAAAGGTTTCAAATGTTTCGCTGAGTTTTTTGGTAATGATGGTTTAAAGGTAAGGAGTGCGCGCGTTTCCTTCTCTCTCTTCCTCCTTTTCCTTTTTGCCTTCTTTCCTCTTTCTTTTTTCATTTCTTCTCATTTTTTCCGGAAAATGACGTATGGGTCAAGTCTAGGCCTGTCGCTATTGTGCTTGTAAATGCAGGAGGGTCTAAAAGTTGCTTAAAATATTGCCAAAAATCCGAAACGTTGCTACCTAAATTTCTTGACATTTTTGCATAAACGTTAATTAAAGGCTTTATTTTAACTTATTCGCAATTATTGTTACCGCTGGTCAAGAAAAATAGCTTGAAACTTGGCTTTAAATAGCTGCTCGCAAACATGAGCGACATTTAAGGATACTTAAGTCTGACAGGACAAAACGCAACGTTCATTTGACGTCTCGCCGAACGTCATTTTAGCCAATTATCTGTGACAATATTAGATAAAGTTTGCAATAGGCCTGCGAAACGTTGCCAATTGACAAGTTATGTGTTAGTTTTTTCTATGAAATCGTCGACTTTTTCATGCTTGATAAGTGCTCTAAACCTATATTTTGCCCAAAAAATGCTCTGAAAAGCGAAATTGCTGCAAGTTGATAAAAGTTGCTCCAAATGTCAAAAGTTGCTGTGCACAATCGGGTCAGGCTTAGTCTAGTCTCATGCCAAGACCTTCCACGTCCAAGCGGTGGAAGAGTTCCTTCATTTCAGTTACATGGTAGGATCTGGGCACTCGATTAGTATCGATCATTTTGAAAAACTATAGTCAGTGAGTAATCTTGTCATATTTTTATCCCGATGGTTAGTAGGATCGGGGGAGTCAACGACACAGCAAATCTTCGCGTCTAACTGTCATTTTGTTTGAGGAGCACGGGCTCCTTTCTGAACAACGAATGTTTATCGAAAAGCCGACGTAACCCATTCTCATCTACCCACTCCACCATTCTTAGTATGTATAGACAAAAGTTATGGCGAGCAGGAATGCTTCTCCATTCCGTCCGAACACACAGTGGGATCTGGGAAGTATAAAACACAGCGAATCTTCGTGTGGAATCGTCACTTTGTATAAGGAGCACGGGCTCCATTCCGAACAGCGGATGTTTACCGAGAAGCCGACGTAGTCCACCTCATATAGTAACTCTACCATTCTCAGTATATATAGACAACAGCTATGGCTGACAGGGAGGAGTCACTGAATTCACGAAGGTGTTGCAATTTTGCGTGGATAGTGACCACGATAGAAGGAGGCGTGAAACTCATCGAAACGGTAACGACTTTCTTAGCGGCTGTTCTTACGCTTAGCTATGAGTTCTATCGCTACAAGTCAGAATACAAATATCAAGTCGGCGTAGCCACCTGCGCGCTCGTCTTCGTGGTTCTGCACATCATTTTCAGAAGCTTACGATGCTTCGAGAAGGTGCCACCGCTGCTTGGAATGGTTGGATGTTTTCTCCTCTCGGTTGCCTTAGTTGTTGGCTCTGGAATTGTATACCATGATGGCAACATCTATGTGAAAGGGGATGTAATGATTGGATCAGGCATTTGTGGCTTCATAGCTGCTAGTTTGTTCTTCTGTGAAGCGATTTATTATCTCTTTGCCCTCGTTTGTCGCCGATCACCTCCACGTCATGATGATGGAGAGACTCTAATCACATGATAACATGGTCCAGCGGAAGATACTGTAGGTTTTATTGAGTGAGGATCTTTTTATTCAGTATCTAGCTGTACGTGGTTTGTTTTGTTCGGCAAAGCTGCCACTAAAACTAATCGGGCTTCTGTAAAAACATTATCTACGCTTTTTGAAGAACTATCTGTCAATTGACGGTTATCAAAAACTGACAAAAATTCAACGCTTGAGAGACTAAATACATACAACTAGACTCTTTTCTTTCCTTGCGAAGAAAAGCTGTTAGTCCCGTTGACAAATAGGAAAGAAAAATGATATCCAGAAGATTCTTTTAGTACGGCTAGAAACAAAATCCGGACTTTTTTCAGGATTTTCAAAGTCAAACGGAATTTTAAGAAAATTCGATGATTTTGGAACATCAGGGATTCTTAGACGATAATGTCTAGAAAAATACAGCCGATAGCCTAAAAAACAAACTTACGTGGTTTGTATAACTTAACTACACCACCTGTTTATTGTCGTTATCATTGTCTGAGAGATACATGTTAAGAGACGAACCAATCATTTTGAATCAGTTTGAAGGTGCTTCCATGCAGTTTCACCACAGGAATCTCGCATTTCATGCAAATTATGTTATTATTTTAAAATAAATTTCGAGACAGATCAGGACTTTTACAAAAAATTTCGAGGTTTTTCGAGATAAAAATGAGATTTGTAGACATTTTCAGGAGAATTTCCCAATAGATTGTCGGGCCATTTTTCGGAATTTCTGTATCTAGGCCTACTTCTACGGCATCATTGGTTTCATGGCTTCTGCTTTGTTCCTCGCGGATGGATCTTTCGTCGTTGTCCTCCTCTACTGCAATTGTTTCAGATCGGCACCAAGGCATATCGTTGAAGAAGTAGAAGCTGCAATGGATAATTTGATGCCGTTTTTTATTAAAGTCTATCATAGCTGATGAGAAGGATATTTCTCTTGCTTGTTTCAACTCTTCATACAACACACCAATGTGAGTTCGTTGAATTCTAGACAGGGATTTCTTGCCGTAGGGAACAAAACGGAACCATCCGCTGACCCTTGAAGAACATTCGAAGAGCTAACTATAGCCTCGAACAATGAAAAAATAAGTTAGCTAACAGTGGCGGGTTAAGGGGGGGGGGCCAGAGGGCCCGCTCCCGCCCCCCCCCTTATTTCAAGTAAAAAAATATAATAATAATCGCAGAAGGAAGAAAAGCCGGACCCCCCCTTCACTCAAGGTCTGAAACCGCCACTGGCTGGCTGGTGGAAGCTCGTTCTTAATTAGTCTAGGGCAAGAGCCCATTAATGGGATCCTGGTCTTAGGCCATCTCTTTCAAAACGGTTTCTGAAGTGCCTGCATAACACAATCCCTCTTCCATTTGTTGTGTATCTTTTCCAGGCCAGATTGGAAGCTCGCGTGAGAAAAGGGAAAATATTTTTTTCATTTTCATGATGAATCCCTTGGCCTTCTTTTCGGAGTTTGGTGGTTTTGAACTCCTGAAGGTGTGTTTAAGTGTATAAGTGACAATAAATAAATGACATTAATTTTACATCCAACTTAATTCATCATATTCATCAGTGGTTCACCTTCAGTAGGACCTTTCGTCTACCATTGGTCGAACTAAAGTTGAACTAGTATTTGGAAAGTCAGTTTTACTGTGGGAACAACCTACGGACATCCAGACAATCCCTTGAAACCAACATCTCAACTCACCACCCTCCCCTCACCCCTTCCCCATTAAATATGAGGAGAGGGGGGAGGAAACGCAACCGATACGTGAAAAACAGTGGTCAAATTATTTTGCATATTCGCCCTCGCGGCGAAATGGCGTGCATAGAGCCAACTGTCCTAAAGGAGTTTACAACGATAAAAGTCGAATTGAATCACTGAATAGAGTACTCGCAACTAAATGAGCTTCGCGTTCGACAAAACTCGTGCTTTCTTCTTTCCTAATTTGTACTCTTTACTTAATTTCATAAAGGTTTCAAATGTTTCGCTGAGTTTTTTGGTAATGATGGTTTAAAGGTAAGGAGTGCGCGCGTTTCCTTCTCTCTCTTCCTCCTTTTCCTTTTTGCCTTCTTTCCTCTTTCTTTTCTTTTTTCATTTCTTCTCATTTTTTTCCGGAAAATGACGTATGGGTCAAGTCTTGGCCTTTCCCTATTGTTCTCGTAAATGCAGGAGAGTCGCGCACTGCAATGCCTAAAAGTTTCTCAAAATATTGCCAAATATCCGAAACGTTGCTACCTAAATTTCTTGACATTTTTGCATAAACGTTAATTAAAGGCTTTATTTTAACTTATTCGCAATTATTGTTACCACTGGTCAAGAAAAATAGCTTAAAACTTGCTTTAATTAGCTGCTCGCAAACATGGGCGACATTTAAGGATACTTGAGTCTAACAGGACAAAACGCAAGGTCCATTTGACGTCTCGCCGAACGTCATTTTAGCCAATTATCTGTGACAATATTAGATAAAGATCGCAATATACCTGTGAAACGTTGTCAATTGACAAGTTATGTGTTAGTTTTTTCTATGAAATCGTCGACTTTTTCATGCTTGATAAGTGCTCTAAACCTATATTTTGCCCAAAAGATGCTCTGAAAAGCTAAATTGCTGCAAGTTGATAAAAGTTGCTCCAAATGCCAAAAGTTGCTCAAAAATTGCTGTGCACAATCCTTTCAGGCTTAGTCTAGTCTCGTGCCAAGACCTTCCACGCCCAAGCGGTGGAAGAGTTCCTTCATTTCAGTTACACGGTAGGATCTGGGCACTCGATTAGTATCGATCAGTTTGAAAAACTATAGTCAGTGAGTAATCTTGTCATATTTTCATCCCAATGGTTAGTGGGATCGGGGGAGTCAACGACACAGCAAATCGTTGCGTCTAACCGTCAATAGGGAGTTTAAGATACGGTCACTACGGACTACGGACTACGGTAATACACG